TATTTCCTATTTAAAGTATGTATGAAGAGTTTCAAACTGACATCAGAATATAGTTCTTTTTTAATAAGCTAGCATATCATTTTTGATTTGTAAAGCTATGGAAAACAAAGACCTTAACTTGAAATATTGTTTATTTTGCTTGAAAATTTATTTGAGGAGCCTATTAAGATGATATGAAACTTTTTGGAATTAGAACCATGGAGGTGTTTTACATTTCAAATCTAGCATACTAATTAGTTTGCCCTGTCAAACTTTGATTGCCTTGTCATTTTGGCATAGGATTTTAAATAACAAAGTTTCTTTCAGGAATTACCATTTAATGCTTTTTAATTTCCCCAGTGAGTGATTTTATCCATATTGATAATGTCAGAGAAGCAACTAAGGACTAATGAATATCAAACATGTTTGACTCATCTACTTGATACAAAATGACCATAATATTATAATATTTTATCACTTTACTACATATTCTTTTGAATGAATCATAATGATGCTCTTCAAATAATTTAAATCTACAGAAAATATGAAGAGGTGCGTGGATAGAAAAATAACAGCAATGACAACAACACTGAATACAAGATAAGGAGGCCTAGGATCATATCCTTCTGCCCCTTTCTGTTGCCATGGTCTAGCTCAGTTAAGCTGGCACATCTGTAAAATGGAAATTTTGCTATTGACCTCATAATGTTGTTAGGAGAGCTAAATAATACAGTGAAAACATTGAATAATAGAGCATAGAAGTCATTTATGAATCATTAGCTGATTGAGAAAATATTTGTTTGAATTAACCATTTCTAGTATGTATAAATAAGACTTCCTTTGAATGTTTGTCATTGGCCTTAAGATGTTCTACTTCTTCAACTAAGTTCACACTGTGTGGCTGTAATTATATATAACAAAATGTTCCCAGTTTGGCTGTGGAGATAGTATTATGTATATTAGTGTTGTAAAGTTTTAAAAGCATTACATAATTTTAATATAACTTGTATAAAGATCATATAAATATTACTCAGTCATTCATCATTTACTTAGAAACTACAAGTATTACAATATAGTAGCACCTGTGGAAAGAAAGATGAATAAAACAGGATCATCTTGGAAGAACTTATGCAAGAAATCACTTCCAGATTTAATTACCATTTCAAGTCAACAGTACTGATTGTGAAATCATGGGCTGAGATACGAAGAATTATACAATAGGGCCTTTACCCTTAAAGGCTCCTAGAGCTTTTTGTAAATGTATGTTTAGTAACAGAAAATGTTTTGGGGGAGCAGTTAATGATTTCAGCATAAGATATGAATAGATTATGTTAAAATCTAGAATTAATTTCTACTGAGAAGCTATTTTTCTTTTTTTGTGTCTTAAAAATGCAAATAGAATGTTATCATTTCTAGCCTGGTAATTCAATGAGTACCACCTAAAAAATATTTACACAACTAAGTTTGCTGTTTGGTTACTGCCCAATTATAAGATTATTTTTCAAGAATTACAGCATTACTAAAAAATTTTTTAGAATATAAATATCCATGCTTCCTAGTTTTTAGAAGGAAAAGGATTTATGTTTATTAATTAATTGATTTGTTTATTTAAAAGGTTTATTTGGCAGGCATAATTATAATAAAAGAATAAGGACCAAAAATTTACTTTTGTTACATAAATGAAATATTTAAGTGTCAACCAGAGCCTGCCAACAACCCCTTGGGATGAGCCAGCTTGAAGCATTTTGTTTGTTCTTTTTTGTTATTTCTGACTTAAAGCTAAAAATGGCCAAGGGGCAGGGAAGTCATAAATGCCTACAGGGCTCTAAAATTATGGTTAGTGTCACCAGCATCCTGCAAGGATTATTTTCAAATTTTACCCATTGTTTTAACCCTGTAAACATGCATCCTCTGCTATGCTTGTTTCCTCAACAAAATAGGGACATTTTGAAGAAAATTATTTGCTACACCTCCCCACCTAATACTTTGTAAGCCACTCCCACACCACATATTGAACAGACATAATTGAATTAGTGTGTCCTCTGAAGTTGTATTCTATAAATACACTCTGCTTCCTACCCTTAAAACTCTTTCTCATGCCTCTGGATATTCTGAAAGTATACAATGAAAATGACACAGAGTTGGTCTAAGCACAAGGAGTTGAAAAGCAGCAATTAGAGTTGACTATCAATAAGATGTGAATCATGGTCTCCAATCAAGAGTAAAAACTTTATTCTTGCATTAAGCTTGGGTGACTGCTGTTGAACAGTTTTGTTGTCCACTATACAGAACAGATGGAGTTTGCAGTTGTGTGTCACTTGTTTATTACATCCTCTTAAAATTAGTAGCTGTGTAACCAGATGGGTCTGGGAGCACAGCTGTGGATATAAGAAAATAAATGAAACCTGTCTGATGCTGCCATGCCCTTTTGAGATGCCAAAGTGTTCCAACTGCAACAAAGAAAAATTCACTTTCATTTGACATTATATTGATATATTAAATTTTAAAAAATGAAATCTCACAAAAATTGTTGACACTGAGTTTTCCAACCCCCTGGTTTTTATTGCATAGTTTGGAAGTCTGAACAAATGTAATTATGAAACTAAAAATACATATAAAATATCTATAATTTCAACATTCAGGTAGATACTCCGTGTTTATTATAAACCAGATTCATTTTAATGTTTTGAAAGTTTATTAGGTATATATGTTGAATTACTTATTTTACATTCTTATGAAATGTAAAATATATTCACGTAAATGCAAATGAATTGCTTCTCTGTAAAACAATGCCAGGTAAGGAGTGTGATACACAGTAGAAATTAGAAGGGACTATTAGGCCCCTTAGGATACTTAACTGGCACTCTATTTGCTTTTTTTTCTATTTAGCCAAATGATATGTTAATTTTGAGAAAGTTTCTTGATGGTGTGTATATATATATATATGTGTGTGTGTGTGTGTGTATGTGTGAATATATGTACATGGTGTGTGTGTGTATGTGTATGTACTTTTTGGGAGATAACATGATTTTTACCATAATATACATCATAAATTTTTGACCATTATTTTATTATAGTTGATTAATATAATCCATATCAGATCACCAAATGAAATATTCAGGACCATCCTTCACAGTTGTGATAAATTGTACTGTATCGTGCTTCATGAGCTAAGAGTATTCAGTTTTGTCTCCCTGCAATATAAGCTACAGAATTTAGAATTTAGGAATTAGAGTTTCAACAAAGCAATATTTAATGAGGATGTATACAGAGACATAATCCGGAAACCAGTTATAATAACTGTTTCTTCCCAAAAAAAAGGAATTTATAAATTTTTAAAAACTCTGTATCCAAATACTATTACTAGTAATAAATGTATTTAAGCAACAAATTAAAGTTAAACATAATCAAATAGAGAACAGAAAAACTGTGTAGATAGATACAAACTACATGGCTTGTATTCAACATTTCAATATCCAAACTATGAAAATATGTTAAAATGATAAATTTTTATTTTACTCTTAGGAAAACACTAAGTGAACTGGAAATAATAATACCAATGACTCACCTACTGATGTACTTATCAATGCATTGGGAATTTTCAAGTACAACATAAGTTTCTTTACTTAATTGCAAGAAGTATTAATCAAAAAGAATGTGATTATCAGGTTTAAATTATTCATTCTAGGCTGTGGAATAATATGTTTATTTTATCTGATGAAACTGATAACATTAACCAATCTCTTTTCATCAATTTCAAGTCTACTTTTTTTTTCTTCCCCAGGAAGTTGGCCTTGTACTTGCAGCTATATTGGCACTACTACTGGCTTTCTATGCTTTCTTTTATCTCAGACTGTCCACGGATATTGACCCTGATCTGGACTCAGATGAAGATTAGCTAAGCAGCAATGAATGTATTAAAGGGAAATAATTTTACAAAAGCACCTTTTGGAACCATTACTTCCAATACTAAAACTGTAACATCTTGAATTCTTTCTGTTGGTATTTTTAGTTTGCAGAAATATCTTTTTAAATAGTTGCATAGGCTATCAAGAAAAGAATCTTACCTAGCAATGTAGTATAGTGTATGCTACCGGATACTTTTATAAATCTTTCTGCTTTGACAGGCACCCTAACATGGTGCATTTAGATAAAATGGAAAACAGATTCTAAATTTTTCACATGTCTGAGCCAATTTATGTATATAACTCCATCAGTTACGGATTACTAAATCTGTTTTTGTTCTATGTACATCATTAGTAAAAGTATATATTCTCATTTATGGAAGCACTCAAATCACATTTGGAGGCTAAGAAGGACCAAAAAGTCATGGGAAATTTTATATTTTACAAAGAAGCCCTTCTCTCTTTCCAGACGTATTTTATATCATTAGAGAGACTATCTGCACATACATCTACAGTAATCTTTTTCCTTCTTTGCCAACTGTTCAGTGCACATGTGCTCCATCAGAAATGGCACCTGGATGACAGAAGCTCAAGGAGTCACATATGTCTCTAAAATAGAGTTCCTTTCCTCTTGGGCTGTCTGAGCTGGTGTAAATAGAAAGTTCAGTTGATCTTGATTTTAATTAACTTATTACTCTATTAATATAAA